AAAAAAAAAAAACAAAAATTACAAAAGTCGAAACATTAGCACATAAGTTTAAAAAAAAAAATGAAAAAATTCATCATATTGAACTATGCAAATAGGAAACCAATTAAGCTGATTATTCCCCGATCACTTCCTGGCAAGCAACTGCTCTGACTTTTTTTTTTTCTTTTTTTTAGAAAAGTCGTCGTTTTGTACTTTATGCAGTTGCTGTTTAACTGCTCCCAGTGTTAAATGCAGAGAGTTTTAGAATATTCTGATTTGGTCGAAGAGAGTGAAGTCCAGCCACTGGATAAATGTGAGCATTTACGTTGCCTGCAGATCTCGATCTCGGTTGCCTACATCTCAATCGAGCTTAATTTAGTCTGTTAACTCAAACAGAATTCGAAGTGCTAGCAGAAAATATACCATCTAGAGCAGTAAGAATACGAAAGTATCTCGTTGAAGTGCACCAAATAGTGTATCAAATTCAATTTGACAATTATTTTCAGTATATATCAGCTGCTTTTAAAAAGCATAGAATTTAAGGAAGTGGAAAGAGGTCAATTTTTTAAGGCTCCTGTTTAGGGTTTATAGTAATGACAATGTGGTGAATGTAGGAAAATACGATGTTGAGAGACGATAACCCTTTATCTTGAGCAGAGCACGACAACTGAATTAGCACAGATGAATGGTACCCGAACAGTATTGGCACTATTTCACTATTTCTCGCCCATGGGCGTGTCCTTAAAAATGGACAGCGCTACGAAAACAGGGCCTCTGCATCATTCCGATGAATAGTACTATTTCTGCCGTTTTCTAACTAATTCTGTCACTCTATTGTACTCAACCTACTTCTGAATATGCTCTCTGGCCAACTAATGTACCACCAGGTACACGTTAAAATATTTTAGGACTGAACAAAAATGATATTCTCAGTTCAGGTCTAGCCACCAGAATTAAGTCGAACTGATGGCAGCTCTTCCACTGAAAAATTAACAGTGGCAAAATTGTCTTCCTTAACTAGAATAAAAAAATTGATTTAAAATATATGAGCTGAAAATTCAAATAATACTTGACCAACGATTGATGATAGACAGTTCTTTGGTGCGTGCCGAAATTTAACCGGGAAAGTTATCCAATGCTCTGCCAAGATTTTTATCTGTTGTCTTCACAGACAGCTTTTTTGAGCCATAAAAGGCAAATTTGACAGGTCATTTTTAAAATCCAGTGCTTTATATGTACAATGCACCTATCAAAGATTCGCTGTGGAATTTTTGGCTCTGCTAAAATGCCAAATCTGTCAAACTGTTTAGACATGAAAGTTTGATGCATTCTGTGGTGCGGACTGACCGTTTCAAATCTGCCAATGGTATCCAAAAGCGAAGTCCCCCCTTGCCCGATTTGAGGACAAAATCAGACTAAAAGCGCTACGAATCAGGCGTTCAGCATCATTCATTTATGAAGACACAAGCCAGCGGATTGGAAGTGTTGCTGCATCCGTTTTCCAAAACAATAACTGGATTACAATTTGAAACTACATGGCTTACGCTTCCAAGAAAGAATTCTTTTGCTCCCGATGCAGTTACGAACGAAAGAATTTTTTACTATTTTATTTTATTTTTTTTGCTCATAGCAGCAGAATAAGCAGAACTAATGGCCAAGTATAACCCGTAAAAAAGTGCTTGAGTAACGACTTGGTTGCACGTATAGTCTCTGAACCACTCCGGTGATTTGCTTTCTTAACAATAGACTCTTGGCCTCTCGCAGACGGTTGGCTGTTCTAACTCTTATGCATAGTAATTTCACCAGTTTCTTTTACAGTCTTTCAGAAATTAGGTCAGGAAAACTTTTGCTCACCTGTATAAAGAGCTAGATGAAACGGTTCGACGTGGTAAATGACTTTGCAGGAACGACATGTATTCGGTCCCAGGCGAATAACTTCTGGTAGCTTCAGCAAACTCGTGGTATTTACCAGGCTGTGCCACCCATAAATTAGATAGTGCCTAAAAAATAAAAATAAACTAAAAATTAGATGCAGAGTATTCTCGCAAAATATATAATTTAACAAAACTGCCAAAAGGTTAGGCCTTATCAGGAAGACGGACCTTCTGCTTGTTTTGCAGGCTGTAAGACTTTTTAAAATGTACATTCAGAAATATGTTAAATATGATAAGGTCAAATTTTGGCTTCCAAAAAAAAGAGAATAAGAAATTTGAGAAGTACAATAAGTGGGATAAGCAAACTGAGTTTTTGAAGGCATCAGATATAAAATATTGAAAAACAAAAAAAAAAAAAAGAAAAACCCTGAGCCGTTATTTCTAAAAGCAGAAAAAGTGAAGAATTTAGATGGCTCAGACAATTCCAACTAAGCAGTAGGGCAAATAGTTAGAAAAAAAAGTTGGCGGTAATTGGACTGAAATTTACCTGGAAATAATGTGTAGAACAGGCCTTCGTTGTCTGGTCACAACGATACACCAGCTCTCTTAGCTGACCAACGATACGAACCTGAAATATAAGTTTTTTGACTCCAGATCTCTGTAATTTTAAATTTAAAGTGATGATTATTAATGCTAATTGAGATGCTTATAGTCACAGTTTTGTTTAATATCACAAAAACATTATGGTAAAAAACTGCCTCTTTTATTGACTCCCTTAAGGCGAATATGGAAGATAAGAAATATAAAATTTAGTATGATGTAGTCGTCTTTTGTCTAGTATAAATATATTTTTAAAAACGCATCGCTAATTTAGCTGTTAAATGATGCCGAAATACAGAAAATGTTGTATTCTGCCCATTTTAAGCTAATTATAAAAAATTTCATGCAGGCAAGATCAAATGAGGCCATTACTGTAAGTACTGACTTTGGTATCCTGCATTTGGTGCTGACGCTTTTCCAACTCCATTTCAAGTTTTTCCACTTGACCTTCAGCTTCTATCCGCTGTAATTTACTCAAATTGTTCAGCTTGTGAGAAATAACGACATGAAATGATGTTAAACAGAATTAACACGTAGAAATAACCAATACGTACCTTATTGTGAGCTTCTTCCTCATTTTTTTTTCTTCGTTCCATCTCCTTTCGACGACGTACCAATTCACTGCCAACTGCCGTACCTACTGCTTTTGAATTCTCAAAATTTTCTTGAGCTCGACGATAACCGTCCACACGTGTCTCAAGTAATGATTTGGCTCGTACCAGCTCTTGTTGTGTATCCTTCTAAAACGGAGTTTTCTTTGATGAACGTTAAACTTAGACTTTTGAAACCTACGTTAACCACAATAATGATCTAGTTGCATGTGGCAGTTAACAAAACGGTTGTTGATTAATACTGTTAATGACAGTAACAGTAACGTTAAAAACAACAAAACATCAAAGCTATTACGAATTAAACATACAACGAGTTTAGTCACCCGAATCCACTCATTTTTTAGCAACCTCCGCTGCCGTTCGTGATCATCTCTCCTCATTTCCAAAGCCTTTAAATGTAAACGGAATGTCACTGCAGGATACGTAATTTGTACAAAGATTATTTTCTTAAAATCATAAAATCTAGATTTTAACAATAAAACCACTGCCAGCTACTTGTAGTCTGTCACAGACGAAGAAGCAATGATAGACAAAATTGTGTACACAATTCAGACTCTATAGTTTACCTCGGGTTATAAACAATTCTGTACTGTATACGTCAGTTAGGAGAATAATTATAATTTATTAAGCTTACCTTTATAAACCTGTCCTGAGCATGTTTTACAGCATCATAGGTTTGTTCACAAAATGTGACATCCGACTCAAAACTGCTATCAAACACATCTTTTAATGGAAGAAAATTTTGAAACTGAAAGGTAGCAACCAGTTAGGCGAATAAGCAGCGAAAAAGATGTAACAAAACTGCTGAATAAACAGAACTAAAAAATGAAAAAAAGGTGAAAGCGAAGAAGGAAAAAACTTTTAAACACTTCAAACGCTTGAGAAAGTTGAAAAAAAAAAGAAAGAAAAAGTGACAACAAACTTCATTTAAGATAAGCTTAGTTTGATTGGAAAGACTCTGGATTCGTTTTGCATGTTCCAGTTCCAATTGCATACGTCGAGAAACGTAATTCAACAACTCTTTACAGTACTTAGACCATGCTTGAACAAATTAATGCATTATGTTAGTTTCGTAAAGTAAAAAATAATATAAAGATGAGTTAAAAATGAGTTGGCATGAACTTAACCGGTGTTAACCTATAAAAAAATCCCTTTGCTACCTCCCCCTTCCCTCACTTCTTCTGAAGTATCTACGAAAGCAAAGCCGCCATAAATAAATAGCAGTTCAACTGATAGGGAGCAAAAATACACACTAGAACAAGCCTGTTAGCACGCAAACGTTAGGACGGCTTAATACAGAATATAACACGCAATCAAGTTTGATTGAAAACTTTTTAAGTTTTTCTGCTTATTTTCCTTCTAATCTTCCTCTACTACCACCCAGTAGAAAGGCGGGTTTTATGGGGACGAAAGTAGGTAGCAGGAAGGAAACAGCAATAGACAAAACCCCATTAACACCATTAACGCAGTAACAGAATGCACCTTTGCCACGGTCGAAGGCAATATCAATACCGTCCGGACGGCTGGCAACCATACGGTCCATTTCGTTGACATCGAGTTCTAAAAATCAATTTTTCTAAGTCAAAACTTCAGATAATCATCAAATTCTTTTTTTTAATCTTGAGATACTTTTTATACTACAATCTATGCTTGAAAAGTGTTTAATCCTGTGCTTTTAGTGACTGTTTGTAGCGTAAAAAATGTTTCTTGAAAAACCTTAGCAGCAACTAAATTCACTGGACTAAAACCTATCAACTTTTGACAAATATTACTGTAGAAAAAAAAGCAATTTCAAATTCTGTGTTTTTATTTTGGCTTTCTGATTCCAATGCAGATCATATTTATGACAATGACATTAAAGGAATAGTGAAAAGGATAGCATCAGCAGCAGCGACAACACCATTAGTCAGCACAATGCATTGGAAGTGGTAATTAAACTTCAAAAGTTGATTGAAAATGTTTAACGTTGATAATGCACCTTTGGCTTTTGAGAATTAACCATCTGTCAAACATGGTAATCAGAAGCTCATTAGGTGCTCGATACCGGTATAACATTCTGTTTTGCGAAATTACCTTTGTTTTCTGTCTATTGTATTCTGCTATTTTGTTCTTTTTTTTTTTTCTGTTTACGTTCATAAATTTTAAAAATATATCATTTTTGATGAAATCAATTAGAGAATCAGCGAAAAAAACTGAATTTCAACCGTAATTTCCGAACCTATTTATCGATTTTCAATGAATAACCCACCGTTTCAAAATCATTACCCATAGTTTTGTTAATGATCAAGAAAAGATAAAAAAGCAGTTAAAGTTAAACAAATAAAAAAAACTACAAACTTATAACAACAGTCTTCTAATTTAAAAATTTTAGTCAGTTATTATTTGGAGCGTCGAAAAATAATAGAGAAAATTTTCCC